CACACACACACACACACATAGGAAAATATCAGACTCCTCTGGGCTCCCGATTCATTCTGTTGTCTTTCTACTTCTACTCATTGGCTCTTTTATACTGCTGTTTTACAGCCACACTCATGATCTTAGAATAGGTAAGATCGAACACCCAGCCTTCTCGGATAAGGGCGAAAAATTCTCGAAGGTCCCGTGTGCAAGTTGCGCATTTTAAAGATCCCTTGTTTATCCTAAAATCGATAAGAGTATGATAGGCTTCGGCCGCGACCCGGGAAAAATTCAAAATCCCTAGCATATGGGAACTGTTTAACGTGTCATGCACACTAATATGACCCTATGCAGTTGTGAGCGCCATAAAACACTTACCAAAAATACCAAAACAATACTTCAGGAGGCGTGCAACGTCATCTTGGTGGACTGGAAACGGGGGGCAAGGGCACCTAACTATAACCAAGCTGTGGCCAACACCAGAGTTGTCGGTGCTATGATCGCTCGTCTTGTTGATGACTTGAACATCTGCAAAAATGCTGATTTCCAGGTATATTGTTTACAGTAAAGCTGTATTTGTTTAGAGTAAAGCTGTGAATGGCTAAAACAGCACCTGGACATGGATGGCTGGTGCCTCTATAAATAAATCATTGATGATTAAGTAAAGCTGTGTGTGCATTGTTTACAGTAAAACAGTGAGTGTATTGTTTAGAGTAAAACTGTCTCTGTGATGGTTAGAGTAAAGATGTATGTGTATATTGTGTTAAGTAAAACTATGTGTGCGTTGTTTACAGCTAAGCTGTCTCTGTTATGTTTACAGAAAAGCTGACTATGCATGTACATTAACAGTCCAATTCAACTAGAATCTGATTGATATGCAGTGTTTAGGGTGAAAGTGAGAACCAGGCAAAGCTTCAGAGAAACACTTTACGGTGAGACAATCTGAAACTGTGACCACGTGAGAGGAGAAATTTAGGTACTTGAGTGAATCAAAGGGATAGGAAAAGGTGGGAAGTGTTTGTTTGTGATCTATACCCTGATTCAAGGTGAGAAAGACAGTGATGATTGCATGGGAGATGGCGATGGCAATGGCGATGATGATGATGATGATGATGATGATGATGATGATGATGATGATGATGATGATGATGATGATTATGATGATGATGATGATGATGATGATGATAATGATAATGATAATGATGATTTCGTCGTCCGCTAATCCACACCCCCCCCTTTCTTCTCTAATTTTGATAAAGAATGACCCCGCGTTCATGTTTTAGTTCGGCCCATCTGTGTTGGTGTGTACAATGTACAAGAGTAGTATGCTTGCGTTGTAAGAACATGAATTGTAGGATCACGCAGCGGCAAATGTATACCTCCAAAGACAAAGAAAGAAAATGCAAAAGAAGTTTTTGAACATCTAGTATAAGGGTACTATCAGAATAAACATCAATGTGTATTGCTTTTTCAAGTATGTATCTATATAATTCTAAAGGTCTCGCAATTAAATGCATGCTTGTGGCTGAATGATGCATCTGATGTGATACTTTGTGCATTTTGTCTGCTTTACTTTTCTCTTCGCACTGAATTGTAATGAGAGTAATAACATAATTTAATTTTTTTTAAATCTATACCTGCCTGTGGTTTTACGTCCTGTAGCAAAGAAAAATTTCCCTCTTAGACAATAGAGTATTATCTTATCTTATCTCTTATCTTACCTTATCTTATCTTACCTTATGAATGTCCAGGATTTTCACCTGATCGGTCACTCCCTGGGTGCACATGTCATGGGCTACGCCGGGGAGGAGATAGAGAGACTGAGAGAGGTGAAGCTGGGGCGGATTTCAGGTAGCTATCTATCTATTTATCTATCTATCTACCTATCTATCTATCTATCTATCTGTCTATCTATCTATCTGTCTATAAACATTTAGATAAACAAATAACCTTATCTGTACGTCGTGCTTTACTATTGTATCCATACGACGAGGGGAATTCTTTCAAAGAGAAAATTTACTCTTTAAGCCGTTCCGTAGCTTTGTGTAGCAGTCTGTCAAAGTGATTTTCTGAGAAATACTGAAAGTTTCAAAGAGATCTTTGTACTAGAAATATTCTAAAATGTGAAGAATACAACCCCAGGGGTACAAAATGACCCTAGGGCGTACGGATAGGGTTAAACAAATGTGTCAAGACGTGGTGGAATCAGGCGCACGTCAATTTTTAGTTTAGGCATGTGGTGTTTTTTCTATTGCATCTGAAAGCTTATTAACGTTCATTTGCCTTGCTTTCAGTGAAAAATATACGTCTAGCTTGAATAGAAGTCGACATATTTGCGAGTGAAGAAAGTGGAGTAACCTGGTTTCATGGGATAAATTGTTGAGAAAACGGCCACCAAAGTTTGAAACGTCCTGGAAAGCTGAAAATTACATAATATTTTGTGCCTTTAAACAATTTTTTTTTCCAGTAAAATTCACATGGAAGTGAGTTTCATAAATATGAAATTAAAAGGTGTTTTTCCAAACTTGTGGAAAATGCCTTTTTCTTCGATTCCACCATTTTGAGGAGCGCCTGATTTCACCACGATACCTCACAAATGTACAGATACATATGCAAATAAGCAGACAAACAAAATAAACGGGCAACCTAACTAGCCAATATACTACAAAATAACACAACACTCTTGTTCGGACTTTCTTCTGTCATTCGTAAGTTCAAATTGCGCCTTCAAACCACGTAAAGGGTGTCATAGTTAGGTTCTTAGCCTGTTGCACACAGACAGCGTGAGGTAGGTTCCCGGATGAGTGGGTCTTTCTTTTTATGTAAACCTTAAAAAATTTGAAAAAACCACCCACTGGGATTTTGTATTAGTATTTATTAGGGACTTTTCTAAAATACAGCTAACAGGCGTTTACAAAAATATTATTGATCTGTTAAGACAAATTGATCTAAGTCACTGAGCAAAAGCTGGAGAGTTTATGTTCGATAGTTGAAGAAATATCTGACCTTAAGTTGCGCCACGAATTTTTGACCGTCCTATAGTTGCGTATCCTTGTATGTCAACTGAGATGTTGTATCCCACTTAACACTGCCATGACCGCCGTTTATAAATATTTCTCTCAATTAAAAAAAGTCTCTGAGCTGGTGCGCATCATGGGCAAAACACCAGTCTCACTTTTATCGAATTCGCTCACAAACTTTCCCACAGTGCCCTTCATTTGGATCCAAATAGATTCAAATGGTGCGCTCCATGGTGCACCAGAAATACGCCAGAGTGCAGTCTTCGGCACTATAATACATGGCTTCCTACGATTTTTTTTCTTTTCTGCAAGCTTTTTTTCTCTCTCTCTCTCTCACTATAATTTCCCGCAGTGCTAAAAAGAAATTATATCATGCCTTTGCTGAAGTTCCAAATGTTATCGGTACGTTCTTGCAGTTCCATCTGACACACATATACACATATGCATATACACATACATGCACACACGCACACACACACACACACACACACACACACACACACATGCACACACAGATACACACACTCAACACATACACAAACTCGTCCTCTTATGTTTAAATATTCACCTTTGACCCCCAGGTCTTGACCCAGCAGGCCCGAAGTTCGATGGGTATTCCACGGTGGTGAAAGTGGACGAGTCAGATGCCAGCTTTGTGGACATCATACATACAGATGCTGAAGATTGGTTGAGCCCTGGTCAGTAGTGTGTGTGTGTGTGTGTGTGTGACTTTCA